TCTCGTGGCCTTGAGGTTAAGGTGTTCGCCTCTCATTCAAAGGTCTCGGGTTCGAATCCGGGTAGGGACGGAACAATTTTCTTGTTTAAAATTGTCTCTTTTCCTCTCCTTTCCAGCTCTATAGCAATGTTCTGTCGTCTGCTTTCGTCTCCACTTTCTGCCCGAACCTCCGAACCTCCTTTGCCCCCTCCTCTGGACCCCTGACTCTTTCTGCAGCCTTTCTACTGCTTCTCGTTGGCTCCTTCTTACTGCTGTCTTTCAGCCACATCCCTGATCTTCTGGTAGGAAAGATCTTCACCTAGCCTTCACTGACAATAAGGGCAAAATATCTCGGAGGTCCCGTTTGCAAGTTGCGCACGCTAAAGATCCCTAGGTGGTCTAAAATCGATAAGACTATGCTTCGGCCGCCACCCTGGCAAAATTCAAATTTTCCGACCTATTGAAAATTATGATAATGTGTCCCGCGCGCTCATATGACCTTATGTAGTTGCGAGCACTGTAAAACAATTACATTTTTTTTTTTTAAATAAAGAAGATCCTTGTAGCAGAAAAAGAGTTGTGTGTCTTCCCCATGTTTATTTTTCAATTATCTCGGAATTGTAAAAACCGGATTTCGCTGGTTTTTCCCTTGTGCCCTTCATTCATATATATATATGTATATTATGTATAATCATCCAGGGCCAGATCCGCGATAGACACCTGCGATCATGGCTCTCTATTCATTCCTTTGCTCGGATGCTCTCAAAATAGCTACGATTCCCTGATCTTTCCTTGTTACCCATTTGTTTAGGTTCCCTAAATAGGTTGCTCTAGGCCTACCCCTGCCTCGTTTGCCTTCAATTTTGCCAGTGAGAGCTAGATGTTCAAGGCCCTTATGTCTGTTCAGGAGTCCCAAAAACTGCATTTGTCGTTTCTTGGTTGTTTTTAACAGTTAGCATCCCACGTGGGCTTCATCAATCACTACCTCATTTGATTTCTCTTCCTTCCACGATACTCTTAGCAGGCTCCTAAGAAACCACATTTATGTTGCTTCTATTTTATTTTCACTGTCTTTAGTGATTGTCCAGCATTCACAGCCATATAGAAGGGCTGACCATAGATAGCATTTCAGAACTTTCATTTTGGTAGTCATTGAGATGTTTGTATTTCTCAGGATTGGGCTCATTTTATTCAAATTAGCCTTAGCCATTGTAACTCTCCCTTTTTTATTACTGTGGAACATTTGGCATCAGATGTTATCATATATCCTAGATATTTAAACTGTTGGACTTGTTTGATCTTTTCACCTATACTAATGAGATTACAACTAGGATTTGCTGCTTTTTTGGATATTACCATGCACTCTGTTTTCGTTACTTTCAACAATAATCCTTTACGTCCACTTTCTGTTACAACAGTATCTAGAAGCAATTGAAGGTCCTTTTCTGAGCCTGCTATTAAAACTGTGTCATGTGCATACCTGAAGTTATTAATATTTTCTCCATTTACTTTGAGACCTGGACATAAGGATTGTTTCACTGTACATGTTAAATAGGTCTGGTGACATAACACATCCTTGCCTCACTCATTTCCTAATCTGCTTATATTCACTGTATTCTCCATTAATTCGTACAGGAGCGTTTTTTGCCTAGTACAAATTCTTCATAATTCTTAGATCTCTTCCATCTATATATAATTGTATATTATATATACGTATGTATGTTTG